TATTTCTGAATCCTATATAATATCATAATTCTTCATTCCGTAGAAGTATAGTATCACAAATATACAAGACTCCACATGAAACCTAATGGATTAAGTGTTTTCTTTAAATTTCAAACAGCTATTTCAACAAATGAAAAGAAAATTGAGATTATTTTTCTTCATGTCAAAAAAACAAAAATGAGATATGGCACCTTCTACCTAAAACCAGAAGCTACCAACAGATCACAATCTTGATTGTTCAAATAAGACAAGCTAGGTCACATCACAAAGAGAATATTAATTTCTGAGCCAAATTTTAATGGAGTTAGTGAAATCTGATTACAATAATATTATTTATGATAACATGAACTCACTACTAAAGTATAAAATCATATTATTACTAGGTCTGCCATTTTAATTGAACATTGGTGTATTTATTTTCACAACCTTATATTCAAACTACTGTCAGTAAATGCCTTTGAAATGCCACATGCTTTTCTTAAGTTGTTTATTTTCAATTACTCCTTTAGAAATCTAGGTACAATTGCAATACACCTCTCGCAATTGTGTTTAAATCGCCCTAAGAGTTTTTGTTATTTCTGAAGATTGATATCGGAAGAACTTTAAAGAAAATGAAATTCCTTCTAAATGTGTTTGTCCAGTGGTCTAAATGACCAATATTGTGTCTAGATTTCAGTTTACTTAAGTCCAAGCTATATCATTTCATAAATAGTCTTGCTTGAATAAGAAAATAAATATGTATTTTGAACATTGGTTTTTCCCAAGTTCTGATCTTAAAACTGGAAGTTGCATGAGATACAAGAAATTGAAGCTGTCGTAAAAATAATGCAATGTTGCAATGTGTCATAAAACAATTTACATTTTGGAGACAAAGAACTTAACACTGTCCAAAAGACAGAGACTTGTCTTATAACTATTCTTTTGGAAAAAAGACATTTTCATTTTTGGTAACATCTGCCCTGACTAACTCTGAAGATTTCTGAAAACCCCCATGAGAACTCTTTCAGGAATCAAGCTTAGAAAAGTGAAGAGTTGCTCTTAAATCTGATTGCATAAGATGACTAATTCATTTATTGTGCATTGGTTGTCAATATAACAATTAACAAAAGCCTCATTAATCACATCACATTACAGCAGATCTTGTCCTTGTTGTTTTCAATTTTCACTTCCCTTTAGAAGTATTTACCAAATGTGTACTACATAATCACACATGTCACTAGTACAATTGTCAAAAAACTTGTTTTTGCTCTTTTTTCGTTTTTTTGGAATAAAAGTACAAACATATTTTAACATTTGGCATCTTTATTACCAAATATCTGTTATTTGTAAAATAATAACTATGAGCCTGTGGTTAAAATTGAAAATCAAAACTCCATTTTACCAATACAAGATATTTATAAGATATGACAAAGGCTGCTCTGAAAATGGACCAGTTGACCCTATCACCAATTTCAAGGTATTGATTAATATTTAAATTATTAGTTAAACTTAGTATAGAACCTTAATTTCATAACAAAATACTCAGAGATCTGAATATTTAAAAACTTTGACAACTTTTTCTTTTTAGAATTATTCAAAAATAGGTATTTTGTCTTTTTCCTTCTATAAATGCATAGGCACAGTCGTTTTTGTTGAAGTATACTTGATATTGGATCTTCAATTAATACACCCCTGGATTCATGGGAAGTTAATTTTTCTTTTTAAATTTCTCTTTTATTTGAGGATTACAAACTGAATATCGTCTGCTGAGAGTGAAGACCACAACATCTTATTTCAATGGAGACCGTTTATATTTTCCACAAGAATGGAGGACTTCAATGCCGATCTCGCACCACAATTTGAGGTGTGCTACGGTAGATTCACTAATCCGTAGTATTAAGACATGTTCATTCACAATATTCAAACAGCTTTACACCAATAAAAAGAGAAGAATCAGTGACTCTGTGTCAACTTGGTGCATAAATTTGATTCAATTAAACATGGCCCCCAAAACAAAAGTTCCAGGTGTTTCTTGAATTAAAAAAACATTTAGAAATAGACCTACAGGATTTTACTGGGAAAATATTTCATGTGTTTGAAAGACTTCTCATAATTCAATTAAACAAATTATAAAGTTTAAAATATGAAAGGAAAAGTATCCATCAATGCTTAAACTAGGCCTGTACAAAGACTCAGGGTTTGATGACCACAGTTTGGAAAATGTAGAAGAAAGTCTCATTCTGCAATTACCAGAATAACTCAGTTTCTGTCACTCAGGCTGATTCTGTCAGTAAGTCTAAATGATGCCAAATGAGGACAAAAATATGTTTATCTACTCAAATATGTATAAGTAAATATTTGTACTGGTCTAAAATGTTTTCAGAATATATCAAGAACCCATTAAACCAATACACCAACAATTCTAAACATTTTTTTTCCAGTTCTTTTGACATTTTTCAATATGACAGCTTAATTTTGTACAGTTGTGTGAGATATGTAAATTACCAGTGGTGACATTTATAGATATTTACAATGAAGACCTTTACAATGTTTATTTCCCATCATTATCATCTATTGTATTATTATAAGTCTTATTTGGTGCCATCATTTAGTATCATTTATTTATTTAAATATGACAAACTTATCAGTTGTCACTTAAAACAAAGGGTGTCCCCTTTAAACTTGGACCGATAACAGCTTCACTACACTAGAATTGGGTTAGTTACCTGTCCAATGTACCGATATATTAACATCCAGTACAGGTAAGCATGGACCAATGTCCAGTGGACAAAAACAGCAGATGGTCTGATCTGCATTAGGGCATAATCTATTGTTAGCACACCTAGTTCACACATTTTTCACTTAGAATGTTTTATATCTGGCAAATTTCACAAACTTACTGGTGTTGAATATTCTTTGTCAATGAAAGAACTTAAAATGTTTAGAAGCAACCTTTTTTTTGTATTATATATTAGTGAAAGGAGATGTAAGGTATATGTGAATGAGACAGTAACCCCAAAACACAAACCACACAAAAATACATGCATTTTTATTCTAACTAAACATTGAAAAACAAAAAAATGTTTAAATTTAGTAAAAATGGAGGAGCCCAGCACTGCACAAGAGATTTTCAGAAGCTTTGTTTACATTGCTATCCACCTTATCACCCTAAATGACCTGTGTACAGAACCTCCTATAATAAATCATAGAATGCAATAAAAGGGGTAATAAAAGTTAAATGGTTGACCTCAAGTTATTATTAGTGTAAAATAGTTCACTCCAGGTCAAACTGTCCAAAAGTGCCTTATAAATATATAAAGAGAGGTCTTCATTACAAAAACACATTAATTAAAGATCACTTAAGCCCTGTCAAATTTCTTTAAACCTGAAACACTATACTTCGCTCTTTAACCCTGATTTAAATGGCGTTAAGAAGCTATAACTTTCAAACAGAATATTATTTTCAATATGATTATCTTATCTGTGTCATCATAATAAAAGGCAATAAAATATTGTATAAACTGGTAGTTTTAATAATTTGAAATTTTCAAGTATTTTTCACCTGAATCTTTATCAAAAGTAGAATCACTTAATGGCTGAAGTAGGGTTCCATTATATTGAGCACCATTCTGTATATATGCACAAACTTTTCAACTTCTAAAAAAGAATAATTGGACTGTTCCCTGATTTGACCTTACCTATATCTAACCCAATAGCCCTCTCAACAAAAAACACTAATTTACTTTTCTGTATCTAACCCTGTGACCCTCAACAAAACAATGTATTTGGATTCATTAGTAGACAAAATGAATATTCAGTTTTAAAGAAATTTATCTCAATATTTCATGGCTATCTGTTTTCTTTTGATGTTCCAGGTGATTTAAAAGGATATTGATATTGCTAAAAATGAAATTCTTTCAGAAACCTGAATATTGTTTTTCTCTTTAAAAATAAAAAACCTGAAGTTTTAAAGAACTACTTGAAGTTAAAAGATCTTTTAAGTGTTAATATAAGATGCCAAATAAAAATTACATTCCCCCTCAAAATCCCTCTTTTGTAAGTGTACTGCACCCATACATTAAGACAAGTAATGTCAATTAATATGTATTATTTTGATAAGTAATGAGTTGTGTCAAATCAAATATTCCTTATTCAAATAAATCATTACAATGAAAAAAGAAAATGTCAAAAATGAAATTAACTTCAATTTCTAAAATGAAACACTTGTTTAAACAATATTCCCTGAAGAGGTTTTTAAAGTATACACACATTAAGCAATTACTGAGCATGATTCAGAAGAACTTTAAACAGGAAACTTAATTCAATATTCAATATGTTTGTCAAATTTCCATCTTTTGAGCATTATCGAGTCTTAACAGCAACCAAAATGGCAATATCTACAACATTGTCTCTTTCAATAAGATTTGTTTGTTATTTGGAAAAGGATATTGTCAGCCAGGCAGGAAATTCACCTGGTATAATTACCAATATTCTGGTTTTAGTTGATTTCATGGTTCCAAAAAGCCATTTTTATTCAAACAACAGTAGAAAGATTATCACTTAAGGATAATTAGAAATAATCTCTCCGGAATATTGATTTGGTTTGTAGTAATAACAACCATACCCTTGAGAAAAGAACGCAAACATTAAATCTTTGGAGATTTGTCACAAAAAAAGATATTTCGCTTAATTGCCCCAGTTCCATATATCTGGCAATAAAAATGGAAGCTTTTTTAACAGAAAAAACCCTGGTAATCATAGTTTATGACAACATAATCACAATTCTACTTTCTCATCAACTATTTCTCTTATTGCTAAATCTTTAGTTTTCTATGTTGATGTTCTATAGACTAATGTTTTGTCTTCTGGTCTTTTCACCTTTGACTGACCTGGGCTAATGTTTTGTCTTATGGTCTTTTCACCTTTGACTGACCTGGGCTAATGTTTTGTCTTACGGTCTTTTTACCTTTCACTATGGTGTTGTTTTTTCTTCCTAGATTATTATTTAATGAAGTCCTTACCTTTTACAATTAATGTGTAATTCACATAGTAGCTGCCGAAACCATTCACAGCTTTACATAGATAGTTCCCAGCATCCTCCATTGTTATGTCCGATATACGTAAAGATCCATCTGATAAAATCTTGAATTTATCCCATATTCCATTTACATCATCTCCATCTTTATACCACTGATTTAACGCTGGAGGATTTGCTTCCACTGGACACAATAGTTTTTTGGTAGTGTTAACATCCACAACTTGACGTCTTTTGTATGGATGTGCTAAAGTTGGTGGACCTATGGAAAATAAGATGGGAAAATATTACTTTAAAATGAATTCTTAAGATTATAATGTTTCAATGGTTATTGTTAAATGGCAATGCTTGCCATGCTTGTCTCATCATAAATAACATTAGACAATTATTTGCAGACATCACCCTTGGTTGAATTTACAAAGCCACCAGTTGTATGTTTAATGGCTTAATAAAAGAAACAATATGGCTTTCAAATATATCTCGTTCTGGCCTTGAAAAAATGCTTGTACAGCAGGTCCAGTTCAAACATCCAGCATGATCATCCCTAACTGTACCATGTGGGATTTCCTTTGAACATTCATATGATTTTCTCTATAGTTAGTTAAGCTACAATTAGTTTATACTTGTATCTTGAATAATTGTTGTTGATATGCATATCTGACTCTTTTTTACAACATCCCTGCTGTTCTTTCAATTATTTTGTGCTGTGTGTTGCCATTTTTGCAAGTGACTTTTTCTTTTCAACTTTAAGAAAGTCCATTGAGTTTAGTATATTTATCGTTTTATATACTTTTGTCTACTTGTTATTCTCCTAGTCTAATTTGTTTGATGTGTAAAAGGCATGGTTCCTAAACACCAATATTTTTATTCTACTATTAAATGGTATTGTTGCCACTAGGGGATCAAGTGATGTAATCATTGAAACAGATAATGCTATGAACACACAGTATAACATTCCCCTCATCTGAAACCAATTCTAAATTTCCCAAATGTGCAACTATCAAATTTCAAATGTCACTGAAAAAAAAATTAATGTAAATTATCCAATAATTAAAAAGAAAGATTATCCATGATTCTGTTTAGTTTTCAAAGCCTTCTTTGTATGAGAGACATCATTTCACTAGTACTCGTCATAATTCTTATGACGTGGATGCTTTGGAGCAGAATAATAATTTGAATTAAATTTCAGTGATTTTACTGGGTTGGGAGACATACCTATCATTAAGTGGCATGTGTCACATATATACACAGACCACCAGGAAACTGAATTTTAAGATCGAAAAATTAACTTTTATGCTAAAGTGAAGATTCTGAGGTTCAGATTATAAATTACACTCTTTATAATTCTATGACATTTTTGGTGGTCAAACTCAATATCAAAGGTTTTGATATATTAAAAAAATGGGTTTCGCCAAATACTATTTCATCTAAAACCTTTGATCTAGTGTAAAAGTCGAAAAAGACTGTTAAACTGCAATTTCAAAAGTACACAAAAGAGTGATCCATGAATACCAGTATTACCATGATACCAGATTTCAACATGACTCCCACTAATTACTGTGTTATTGTTTACTTTGTGAAGAGAAATTTTGACAGCTTTTCTGCCAAGAGAGGATCAAATTGGTTTCATATGACTGGTACATTAAGTAGACAATTAAATATTGATAAAAGACAATTTATTTTGTAATATTGAAATATAATCATGATTTGTATACACATGATAAATAGATCATGAACCTATGGTATATCATTTGAATCCACTCCCTGGGGACGGTTCTTCTTCATGGATGTTACATTTATCTCCATTTTATTAAATTAAGAATGAAATTAGAGTATTTAGGTATAGTATATCTGTGATAAATATTTAATAATTTTGATAAATGAGTCTGACTGGTAAACAATGTTTTAGGGTGTAAGCTTATAAATAGGTGTTGTATTCTGACACCAACGTGTGATTTACGGTAGATCTAAAGCACTGCAAGCTCAAGTCTGGAAAGGCAGTATTGTTGTCAAGGATGAAATCATTAGTCCTAGATTCAAGTGTCCTACTGAGTGGGTTCTTGAGATAGTGAGACAAGTACATATATCCTTCCCTTATACATACTTCATTCTATGTTATTTTAATACAGTCCCAAAATTTAGTGCTTTTTCAGTTCGGATTGTAAATACAAACCCCTCTCCACCTTTTTTCATTTAAAACATATTATTGTTACCTAATGGTTTATATTATTCTTGCACAATCCCTGCTTGAAGCCAACCCTTAATATGAACCCTTAAAAGTAAGAACATTTCCTTAAATAATCATCAAATCTTTTGGCAACTTCTGAATACTGAAACGGACAACAGTTGCTAATTACCTCCCTTGTCAATTTCAAGGCAATATTGTCTAAACAAAAAAATAAGAATGCCTTTGAAATGGATTATAAGAATGATATAATACATGTAACAGGTGTATAAGCAATGCTACCCTTGTAGTCTATCTTATTTATGATTTTCTATTCTTGTTAAGAGAAATTGTTGTTGAAAGATTTGACAAAACAGATTCTAAATGACCTACTTATGCAAATCATGTAATTTGTCTTTTTCTAACATTAATGACAGGCATACTAACTTGTTTTTTGTTTACATATATGATTTTTGGTCTATTTTTTCATAATTAAGAAAAATGTTTTTATGTTCCAAAAAGACCCATTAGACCCATTTAGCATATATTGTTTCCTACAACTGGGACCAATATAGTGATTTCTGTTTCCTACAACTGGGACAGATATAGTGATTTCTGTTTCCTAAAACTGGGACAGATATAGTGATTTTTTCATATCTACATATGACATCATAGAACAATGTTTTCAAAGCCGTTCTTAAAAGATTCATTAAGTTCAGGTAATAAAAATTTTTGCATGAAGGACCTTCAATGACAAAAGCCAACTTTGGTCTCCTTTTTGGAATATCAGAGAATTTATTTTCTGTAATTTTGTTCATATTATATCATGATGCTGTAATAATTGATTGTATGACAAAGTATAACTTTATCATCCCTGGTTCTTAAATTAAAATTGATTGAAAATAAAGATTTGTGAGGATTGACAAATCTACTAATTCATGTTTCAAGATGGGCTTCGGATAAAAAATCACTTCATTTAAAAAAACATTTCTAATAGATATTGAACAAATGTACTTTGGGTAACAGGACTGAATAGCTGAACAACTTTTGAACTTGATAAGACAATTATTGATTGATTGGTTGATTGTGTAATGTCCAGTGGCAGACATTTCATGCATATTCAGGACTTTATAACACAAGTAGATCAACTTTTCATTTCCCTTCAATATGTTCAATAAAAATAACCAAACAAAAAATGAAATTTATAATGAAGAGACTTTCAATTGTCCTTAAAACTGAGAAAAAAATTCAGAAATTAAGTAAAATTAAACTTGGTTTGTTATTAGAGAAACCCATTGTTCCCCTGCAAAAAAATAAATTGTTTTTCTAGTCAAGATTTGGTCAATTTACATATAAATTTGAAAATGTATAATATTACATGAATGCATCAATCAAAATTTAAATAAAATATAATTTAATCAGTGTTTAATTTACACAAGAACATAGTAATTCACTCTCTGACAGAAATAAATGGGTCATAATATGGAGAAATAGATTAATATTTCTGAACTTGATTACAATAAGGCTTAGTGCAAATATAGATGACATTCAATAATGACAATGCTTTTTATGCAGTATAATCATGACTGGACTAAGAATAATACACAGACTACTTAATTAAAATAACACATTCCTTGTAATGACAAAAAGTCAAAATAAAAATGCTAAACTAGAAATTATTATATACAAATATTGATCTAGAAATGGTTGCACAATTAAGGCTAGTGCAAAGAGCTTTAGTCCAAATTCTTCTCTTGAAGAGCGTTTAATTATGACAATGCTTTGTTCGATTACCCCGGTACATGAAAATCAATGAATGAAAAATACTTGAGAATTCATCTTTTAGAACAAAAAATAATAACTGCTTAAATCAAAATTCCTAAATTCTTAACAGTACCAGGAGAATGTCTGGTGTACAATTAAAACACAGTAGGTACTGCAATTAAAGACAACATATGCCAATACATCGCAAAACTTTTAGATTTTGCAATTTTTTTTGTAAAGAATGTATTTTATTGTTTTTTGTTCATTATCCTAATGATTTCCTTGGCTGAAGCCCGTCATCCCTTGATATTTGCTGTCTGACACCTCTGTCATGGTTTTTTGCTGCCAAATATACATGATCTTTAGGTAAATTTTTATCCCTTTTATATTTGTTCAGGTGTTGAAGATGTCTTGATAAATTTTATTCAAACATCCTCCTTCTAAGCAAACAAAAGATAATCCCTACCAAAAATAAACTCATCTTTATAAGTCATATGGTTATCGCATAATTGAATTTTCAAATTCAAAAATTTTATTAAGTTCAATTGTGGTTACTTTAAGGCTAACAGAAAATGATGAAATTGCTATAAAAATCTAAAGGTAACGCCAATGAACTGACGCAGGAATATTGTAAATTCTCTCATTCATTTTAGTAAGGTTAAAATAATATTTAGCTATTTAATATAAGAAAAACAATTCTCTTATATGTAATTAATGCCTAACCATCCCCATACTGTAAATCATGTTCTTTCCTGAAGTTTTCCTTAGGTAATGAGACCATACATTTCCTGATCTAATCATAAATTGTTCAATAACACTTTTCATATAGGGCAAATAGGGGTGTGAGGCAATTAATCAGAGGACTGGACTACACTTTCCCCTAAAGGAGATCAGTGAAATATTAATGTAGGGGTAACCTATGTATATTATTTTGTTTTGATCTTAAATAAAAAGCATCTGTTATTAGAACACGCCCAACTTTCTTTGTATATGATCAGTCCTTAGTTTGCAGGGGAAACCAACTGATGTAAAAGAAGCACCTGTTTTCTAAAAGATAGATGAACTATGTGTACCATGAAATTCAAATGTCAAGATAATCTATTTTATTGTATTTCAAAATCATGATTCACACGTCCTACAAGTAATGCCATTTCTCTTTAAAAAATATATTTTGTCTTTCTTAAAAAAAAAAGACTTTTTTCTTTGTAGCATCTGTTTTCAGTTATTTTGAACAAATTCTCATTTATTTCCCAGTTGAAATAGTTTTTTTTTCAAAAAGGATATTTATTCCCAAGTCTATGGGATACTATAACTGTACAATTTTGGAAATGAGG